TCCATCAATACACAATGTACTTACAAATTTCATCATAATTAAAAGTTCTTTCAAAATTTCAATCGATTGATTATTCACAGAGCAATCATGTTATCAACCTTTTCCATGGTCATCATAAATTGATACTCAATCAATTTCCTCTTTCCCCAAGGTAAATTAACCTCGAAAAATTTGATCCAAATTAGAAAGATAAACAAATAACGGCGAGTAGAAAAGTCCAATTTTTCGTCAATTCGTCAAAGAAAAAAGTAAAACAAAAGAAATCGAAAAGTTGAAACTCGATCAATTATCAACTGACCGACTCATCGATTCTTATTGGTTAAAATTCAAAAGTAAAACTTAAGCCACACCAAAGCGATCACGAGGATCTTTATTAACTTTGTTTTCTTTTTTCTTTTATTTTTATTTTCTCTTCTTACCTTTGGCGATTTCGTTTAATTGAAACCTGATTTCAAGGTAAACTTGTTGAAAGTTCATTGACACAATCAGTTCGTCATCAAGTATTAATCTTTATTTTGGTGATATTCAAATTGGAATCCATGGTTTCCAATTGAGAATCATCACAATTTTGTCTTCATTTTTTTTTTCTCTTGTTTTCTTTTGTTTTTCTTCACGTGTTCTTTTCAAGAGTAACAATTAACGACAATTACAACAGAATTAAACGAAAAATTCAATCAACTGATGATTAATTATAATCGTTGATTGAATAGCTTCTTATCTTAAATTTCCAATCAATTCTCTCTCTTTTTATGTAACAATAATTTTCTATTTGTTATTATAAACATTAGATTTTATCTCTTTTCCTCTTACGATTTTTGTTTCTCTGCTCTTGTGTTAATCTAATTTCTAATTACCAATCAATTGTTTAATTATCTTTTAATCAGTTCAATTTTCTCACTCTAACCCAATAATTCATTAATCTGCTCCCTTTTTTAATCCTTCACCAGTTACCATTGGTTAACACAATCAAAAAATGTCTTCAGGTAAACAAAATGTTTTTCTTTATTCTGTACAATTAAAAATGAGATTGAATTTTCATTCTTCTCTAATTGTGATTCTCATCTAATTAATCATGTTTTCCAATTGTTTCTATTTTTTTACAGTTGAACAAAACGCCATCGATTCACTTTCAGCCGATTTAAGGTAACGTTTCTCTCTCTCTATAATCTGTTAATCCATGTTAACTATCAAGTGGATTATTACTCATCGGTTCACCTTTCGTTATCTTATTAAACTCTGTTGATCATAACAAAGTAAAGTTACATAAAAGTTACTATGTAAACATTTAGATTTCTCATCTTATTTGGTCACTAATTGTTCAACTATAAGTGTTTTGTTTTCACCTATTGTTTCAATTTTCTCATCTTCTTTTTATCTTCATTTTGTCTTCTAGTGAGTCTCTTGGATTACAAGGTGATAATGAAGAGAGTGTAACTGATCCACCTTTACATGTGCCAATTGAAAATCAATCGGAAACTGAACCTCAACAGAATAACAACTCTCACATCTCAACTATGGATTCTCATGAAAATCAATTGCCCTCATCGTCTTCATCAAGTGAAAATATCTCATCGATTGATGGATGTGCTATCAGTCGACCCTTAAGAAATTCACCTGAATCTTTTGGGTCAAGTTTCGATGGCGAATCAATTGGCGGCAATGGTGCTACTGGTGGTGGTGATATTGAATCGATCGATAGTCCGTTAGGTCATTTTAAAACCGATATATTTGACGCTGAATACCGGATGGACTATCCTCGCCGGGGAAAGTGCCTTATTTTTAATCATAAACATTTTGTCTCTGTTGCTACTAGAAATGGTACCGACATTGATGCATATATTTTGGAAAAATGTTTCGCAAGTCTTGGTTTTGAGGTTGAAACTCACCAAGATCTTAAATTTGCTGAACTTCAGGATGTCTTGAAACGAGTTTCTGGAGAAGTTGATCATTCGGATGCCGATTGTTTTGTTTGTTGCATTTTGACACACGGGGAAGAGGAAAAGCTTCATGCCAGTGATCATCAATACAGTAAACGAGATGTATATGAACTTTTCACCGGTGATAAATGTCCATCGCTCAAAGGAAAGCCTAAAGTGTTCCTTATCCAGGTAAATCCGTTTTCTTTTCTTTTCTCGTCTCAACTCTTTTCTGTGCTTAATTTATTCGCTTTTAATCTTTTTGAATTCAATCTACTCTTAATCTCCATCTTTAGGCTTGCAGAGGAAATGCGGAAGATCCTGGTACTCACTTGGACTGCCAAACTGACGCTGCAATAACGATCGCTCAACCGGCTGATCGAACTCAATCCATTCCCATTTGGGCTGACTTTTTGATCTCATACTCAACTGTTGAAGGTTATTTTTCGTATCGTAATACAAGTTCCGGTGGATGGTTTGTTCAATCACTTGGTCCACTTTTATCAACTCATGGAGCTTATTACGATTTTGTCTCAATTTTAACCCACGTAAACATGGTGGTTGCTCGAGATTTCGAAGCAAGACCAAAAGGAAAACAAATACCCCAAACTGTTCACACATTGACCAAAAAGTTGGTTTTCCGTCGGAAAAAGAATCAACCAATCAAACCATCGACAATTTCGTTCCAAGGTAACCTAAATTGTTGAAAGAAAACCATGGAAACTTGAAAGATTCTCAAGGAGCATCAAATTATCCAAAAGAAGGTTAATTTTTCCCTCTCTTTTATTTATTCTTTCACTTTGTTCTCATTTCAACATCATAATCAATCCATTTTTATTCTTTTCTAATTTTTCTTTTAATTTTGCTTTTTCATTTCATTTTTAATTTCTTAATTTCAATACATCCAATTTGTCTTTTTTTGCTATTCATTTATACTCTTTGATAAAATTAAATTTTTCGATTCATTTTCTCATAAGAAAAAGCCAATTGACCATTTATTTGGCAACTTCCCACTAATCTCTCATAAAATCAATCAATCGCCATTGAAATTTATTCTCTTACAATTTAAATTATTACAAATAATAATTACAAATCTTGATTTTCCCTGAAAATCAACACGAAAAAAGTTAAATTTGATTAACGAAAAGTAGACTAATTGCTCACGAGAGGTCACCACTTGATCGAAGCGTATCCATGGCAACCAATTGATTGCATCATTTAACCAGAAAAAAGTTAATTTTGATTAATTTTTTCAACGATCGAATCATTTTTGCTTCCAATTAATTATCGAGTATTTAAACTAATTGGTCATTGAATGACGGAACAATCTAAACCTTTTCCCATGCGGATCTCGGAAAAATTTGAACCGATTTGTTGTCATTTGCTGATAAACCAAGTAAATTAATTGTTTTGTTTTCCAATAAACAATTAACTAAATCAAGAATAATCATCACAATAAATGAGTCATTATTTGTTTATCTTAAAGACGAAATGTTCATTTCAACTGAACAATTAGTCAACCAGGATGACCAGAAATTGGAAATGGTTGATAATCAATGAGAAGAAAAAAAGTTTTCACAAAAGTTTAATTGTAATTAAATTGTGTTAATATTTTAATAGGTTAATCTTGTTAATCCCAACGTCTTAGTTTACCATTACAATTTACAGTTATATTTAATATCTTTTAACCACATTCAGAATGAACAATCAATTCAATTTTAAATTGAGAAATCAAAAAACATTTCTAATCGTTAATCGTTAATTATTGTTAATTAAATTGCCTTTTCCAAACCAGATAATTAGTTAGAAGTGTTAATTTTGTATGTTAAATATGTAAAATGTTAATTGATTGATAATTAACAATGTAAATATCAAATAGTTTCAATTGATATAATCATGATTTTTAAATCATGAAAATTAATTAATTATAATCTCATTATAATGTGATTGATAATTAATGACAATTAAAAGATAGAGAGAGAGAGTAACGTCTTGGACGTTTAAAATTTACAATTAAAAATGAAAAGTGATTAAGAAAAAAATTGTTAATCAATGAGAAGATTAAATTGTTGAGCTAAGGCTCAATTGCAATTAGGAAGAGGCAGTGAGTGTCAAAGCAAACAATTAAGATGAAGAAACGAAATTAAGATAAAATAATTAAAATGCAAACAAATCAATCAAATCAAATTGTAATAATAATAATAATTTGTTAAGTTAAATTGTTTACAATGAAAACTAAAAAGTTAATTAACCCAAAAGAAAAGTGTTAAATTAAATGAAATCAAAGTAAATGAAGAAAAAATTGAAATTAAATTAAAATTGAATATATATTATGTTATTAATTAAGAATCAACTGATTGACAATATAATAGTTAATTGTAATTAGAAAATCAGTTAAATTGTTTGAAAAGTTTTTCTTTTCCATTTAAATTCTTAGGCAGTTTCATGTTCCAGTTAATATATTATAAGTATTATATTTGTTTCCATGTATTAATATATATAATTAACTTAATTACTTTGTGATAATAATATATTATGAATGTAGGTAAATGAATAATAATCATCAGCATATAATTAATTAATTGTTCTGATTCTGTGTTGATTGGTTTAACTAATATTTTAAAAACCTTTCTCTTATATTTTTGTATCAATAGCTCACTAATATTGATAACTGTTTGTTATTATCATTGTTAATTGTTATCAAATTTAAATTGATTGCGGTAAGATGAGGGATCAATTAGAGTTGATTATGAGGTTGATGATGATCAATGATTATGATGAATAATTAATAATTTGTTAATCATTACAAACATCTATGGAATCCTTAATGTGACATTATGAAGATGGTCAAGTTTTCATGTGGTTCATATGGTGATGATAATGAAGAAGGTGCTTAATTGTTGTAACTGTGTCATTCAAGTTTTGTTGATCAGATTTGATTATAATCAAATTAAGATAATGATTATCAATCAGTGTATTTATAAATCCGTTTATAAGATTATATAATTTATTGTTTATTTGCTATTGGGCTTTTTGATTGCGAGAAGAAAAAAAAAGTTTTCTTTTTCCTTATTGAATATTGTGGATAACTGAAGACGATGATGATGATGATGGTGGTGGTGGTGGTGATGGCGATGATGATGATGATCAGGTAAGCCGTGATCAGATTTAATGAAGGTTCATTTTGATGATAATTGCTCTAGGATGATTGCGATAATGTTGATTGTTGTATTGGTTGGTTGGTTATGGATGCGGACGACAACTTGTCATTGATATCGTTGCATTGTCAAGATATTATTACAATCATATTAATTTATATTAGTGTTGACGATAATTGCACAAAAAGATGATGATTATGATGAAATAGTTTACAAATAATAATTAATTAATATATAAATCATTTACTCTTCTTTTTCTAAAGTAATTAGCCATTTAAATTGGAGTGGGAATTGTAAAGGTGAGAGGCTAAGGTTTCATGTGAATATATAAAAAAAATGTCTTACAAGGAAAAGGATATTGGATCTCAGTCTAAGAGGGTATTGGTGATGATGATGGAGGTGGGGAAGAGTTGAAGGAATAGATTATGGAAGAAGAGTAATTATATAAGATGAGAAAGGAGAGATGTAAATGAATTGATGGATATGAAAGTAAAAAGATGAAAGAATTTTGAGTTTTAAGGATTAGAAGGCGATTAACAGTTTGGAAAGAGGGAAAAGGCTTTAATATTATGGTGAAAAGAAAGAGGGAAAGATGAACAGAGGAAGAGGAAGAGAAATTGAAATATCATCCTAAGAATGAAATTGTTGTTAAAGAGAATAAGCTGCAATGCTTGAGGCATTACTGTTCGTGTCCTCTTCTATTTGTGAGGTAGATGTGATCGAGGCAGTGTCACTTCCTCCACTTCCGCCACCAGATTTTGCTTCGGTCATTTTAATGCGACATGAACAGGGTTTGAGCAGTTTGGGATAAATAAGCACCTCGTTGTTAGGACCTTTGAAGATTATTCCACAGCAAATTTTTTCTCTATTTTTCGAATGAAATTGCAAATAAATCAAGAGATAATCCATCAGGTGAATCCGTTCCAAGGTGACAATGGAAGGAGAAGAAAAGAAAAATAGAAGTCAATTAGTTGGAATGATTTTTGAAGCAGAAAAGAAGAAAAAAAGAATCAAATATAATTGGAGGTGTATAAAGGCGGAAGAGAAATGAAAGAGTTGGGATAAGGTAAGTGAGAGAGAGAAGGGGAGAGGGAGTAGGAAGGGTTAGGATGATAAAGAGGAGGTGGTGGGGTGGTTGATGGAAGGTACGTACTTCCTCCAGAAGGACATATCTAAGAAGGAAGAAACTTTAGAGAGTGAGCTTGTTGGTGGTTTACTGCGCTTGGTTAAGCTTCTTCGGCTGGTGGATGAAGATCCAGGGGATGAGAGGTTTGAAGATGAAGATGCTGATGTAATTGTACTGGTGGAAAGTGGACTTTTTGAGTTACTACGAAGCTTTTTCTTGGTCGTGGTTGTTGTACCATCGGTATTTCTTACACCAGCCAAGGTATTTTGTCCTTTACTTTCGTCGTCAAAATCGGACAGGTAATCATCTTCATCGACATCCTCATCATCATCTAAATCAGATGAATCACTTCCAATTGGACTGGATAAATGTCTCACTGATGAGATTTGAAATCTATCACCATCTGAAAAAGTAGAGGAAAAGAAAACCAGAATTAGAAAAGAGAAAAAAAAATCATATTTAAGATTCTTAAAGGGAGAAAACAATTATAAGGGATTATCAAGGTTAGAACTAACTTAGGATTCGAAAAGGATTCTTGATGTTGTTGCTTAAATCTATCGTATTCATGGCTGAGTAGTTTCAGAAAAGGGGTAAAAAGAGAGAGAGAGAGAGGCAAACACACTAGAGAATATGAATGATGAAAATAAGAGAGAAAATGAAAGGAAGAAAAAAGTTAGCTGGAAGATGCGAAGAAGATGAAAAATTTTGGAGAACTTTTTCCTCTTTCTTTCTTTCTTACTGATTAGAAATTCAAGAAAAAACTTGCAGAATGTAAGTGGACGAAGAAAGAGGTAGAAGAAGAGGTCAGTTTTATAGAGAAAGAGAAAGAAGATGAGAGAGAGAGAGGGTCGGATAGAAAGAGATTAAGATAAACTACTATCCAATAGGAAGAAGAAAGGAAAGAGAGGAAAAGAAAGCTAAAAGATGAAGATGAGAAGGAAGAAAAGTGAGTGAGAAATTATGAAGAGAGAGAGAGAGGAAGAAATTAGTATAAGGGCAACATAGTGGTACCAGGTTACAGGTACAGTTAGAACCAATAAAATCCGGAAGAAAAAGTCAGGTTCAGTGAATTAGATGATGATAATAATCATGATTATGTTGCAAGAGAAATGGTAAAAAACCCTGAGGCTTTTTATTTCCAATCAAAGGAGATAGTCAATAGTAGACAAGTGATAGATTAAGATTATAATCTTATTTCCTCTTCTTTAATGTATTAACCAAAATTGTCACAATTAAGCTTGAAAATCAACGATCAACATACAAAGATAAACAATTCAAGTCAATTGAAGCCATAAGTTAAATTGTAACACAACAATTAACACAATACATCAATTGACAGAATAACATTAGAAACCTAAAGAAAGAGAAACAATAACAATTAAATATAAAATTACGACACAATTTAAATTGTAATTGTCGAAACAATTACAATGTTAATTGGTTGAAACTAAATTTAGGGCCCTTGAAAATTTGCTAATCATTGAGATGTTTAAAACAAAAAAGATTGAAGTTAATTATGATTACCTTGAATGTCGGTATAATCAAGTATCGATGATTTAATTTTCTTTGGTTTATTGTGTTTCTTATGATTATGTGTACTATTAATTGATCCACCGGTTGATGAATTGTGATTTAATTTCGCATATTTCATTGATTTAGTTCCTGGTCCAGCTCGAGCGTCAACAACATGCCTCCAATTGCGAAGTGTCCCCGGAGGCAATTTTTTCCACCTCT